TACACGTGTGTATTCATACAGTTCGTTAACAGTTATTACTTTCGTAAATAAACACTTGTTTACAAGAATCGAATCATTAAAAGAAGTTACAGTAGAATGTAACGATGATATCATCAAAAAAGCATCATCAACCCACACCTAGTTGTTTGCAAAGATGATTTTTAAATTGGGCCATCTTCTATTCAATCGTTTTTGTTTTACTTATTTATGTATATATTCACGCCATTTTTCTATAAATACAGGGCGTTATTCGTTATTGATTGGAGTCTTTGGCACTTGATTGTCATCCGCACTCTAAAATTGCGAGCTATAGTTGGATGGATTTGACAATACCTTTGTATTCTGTGACTCTAAGCGAAGTCAGTTTCTACTAAAATTTGAGCGAACAACGATGTAGTAGTGATGCAATACAACGAGCGAATCGTATCAGATACAATCGTGAAATAAACTAGCAGTTTTGTTGTTGTTATATATGCATCAGATGGTTTAATCCACATTTATTTATTTTGTTGAAAATTATTTAGTTTAGCTTTATTGTACATTTTCTTTTACGAGTGAAAATATCATAAGCATCAGCTTGAATAAATGACGAATAAAATTTTTTCTCAGAAAGTCTGAATTCAGAAGTCTAACCGAATCTTCCTTCCACTGCTACACTAACTGATTTTTTTTTCATTACAAAAACTTTTAACATTTAATTAAAACAAGTACATATTAAGTTTAGTTTTGTAACATTTACTTGATGATGAGTCATTTCTGCACATAAAACAATATTTTCAACATCAATAAAATGGCAATGTAATAAACGAGACGACATGTGTATGAAGATAAAATTCTTTGTATTGTAATGACATAGAACAATCATTTTATATTTGTTGTTGTTGATATTTAATTGTAATTTGATATCTATTTGTATTACGAAAACCATGATAACCATCAAACAAATGATTGACGCACATGTTCAACATGTGCGTCAAATAATTCAATGATTGAATTATTTTGGCAACCTTGAATGATTTGAAAAATAGCCAACATTTTTTCTCATCTGACGATAACAGACAACTCAAGAAAATCTTCGAACACTTTTTTCAACCTGTCGGAAGTCTAGCGCATAAAATTCGTGTTAAAACGAAATGTCTTCGGGCATCACATGGGCTTTTCATCCTGCTATGAGTGTTTTTTTAAATTTTTCATCTTTGACAACGATAGCATATTGTATATCATTGTAAAGATTTGAATTCTTTGCAGATCGAATTATTCAACGAAATATCATCAAAGGTCTTCGTTAAATTCGTTTCTTATGCGTCTAAGTGGTCTCGGATTGAAGCCATATGTTGCGACGACGTTTAGCAGGAAAAATGTTGAGCGTAAGGGGAAAGCGATTTTTACGTTCACCAACGTAATTCAATTGTGAAGGTACTTCAAAGTACACATATTTTAGAAAGTGGATAAAAAGTTGATTTCTAAAATAACAGATTTCTGCATTTAGAGCCTCTACTTCAATGTAATACATATAAGGGCAAAACGACACATTTTTAATTTGTCAAACATGACATATAATCCTCCTCCCCCCTAATAGAAGACCACTGCCGATCATATGACTTGAAAACCAAATAGAAGACCATGGTCTTCTAACTCCTGGAAGACTACTGATCTTCTATTATGTCTGCGAAAAAAATCGGAAAATGTCCTATACCAGGTAATTTGCGACAGATCAGACACTATAAGCATCTTTTTTTTTGTGAAAGAAATGTCAAAATAAAAAATGCAGATCTCAGTCTGTCAGCCTAGGTTTCAAAGATTTTATGGGATCCTGTATTATGCGTTAAAAGAAAGTTCATGCTTTGTGTATAATCGAAATATCGTTCTTCCAGCAATAGAACTGACATTTTGTTCCAAAATAATGTTAATACAAAGGCTTTGTTTTTTCAGCCTTACATGACAAAATAGAGAGAGATAACAATAACAAAAGTCTTATACTCTGAAATAAAGCACAAGTTTAAGGAGAAGATTGAATCTATTGATCTGAAGGATTCTGTTTGTTTCAACTGTAACATTGTATAATGGAAATTATTCTACAGTCATCCACAGATGGGCAAGTCCAAGTCCGGACTTGAACTTGACTTGCACTTGAAGATATTTTTATCAAGTCCATTTGAAGTCCAAGCAGTTAAAATCTATCACATTCAACAATGGGATGAGTAGAATTTGATATCTAATTTATCAACCTTTTTTTGCCAAACATGTATCTAATGTATGGATAAAATATATTTACCCGTCGTATATGATTATGAGCTACTGCATAGTGCAGAAACCACTATGAACTAGAGCCTGAATCCAGATTTGAACTTGACAATGGTCGGAAATGCCTAAATTTGCATTCATTAAACATCGTCAAAAGTTGAATATCCGTTGAAGTGAATACATCGATATATAAATCTACATGGCTGTTATTTTACAATCATCATTTTCGTACAGGCGATGATACTATTATGATAGTCACGGTCGGATAACATTCGTAGTGTTATAAATTAACGACCCTCAAAATGATAAGATAATCAAATAGATATAAAAATATTAGTGACGAAATGGAACATATACCATTAACTGGGAAAAATAATTATCGCATACAGAAAACAACATTTCGATCGTATAATGATCAGCAGCATTATCTCTCAAGAACAATATCAATGGACAAAAAACATAATATAGGAGAACGACTAGAGAAAAGAAAGCATTTGAATATTAAGCGGTAAGGACACATTACCTTGAAAAAGAAATGAGAATGGTAAATATGTCAAGTAAGCATCAAAATTGCACTTAAGATACAGACATTTTCTGAACTTTGAAGACATGTACGATGAATAATAAAGACATAACAATATAAATCAATAGTTTTGTAACGTTTGAGTCCTATTCGCTAAATTGTTCATGCCTTAGTCGGAAAATAAATGTTTGTAACACGCGCAGACCACAGGGCTCTTTTGAAAATGAAGTTTTGTAGTAAGAACTAGAGCCTATTTTTTTCCAATAATTCAGAAAAATATAAATTTCTCTGAATTAGTTTATGATAGTAAACTTTTGTTCTTAGTAAGTTTGTAACTGAGACTAGGAGCTATTTTCTAGTAAAAAAATTATTTTAGTAAATTGATAAATGAGTGAATTATTCATTGACAAAACACTACGGCTTTTTCTTTTTTGGACTTTTTTTCTACAGTTCAAACTGGTTTACAAACTCGAAGAAAATCATTTCAAAGATCGAGCGTAAGCGTACAGGTATACAATCAGATGCCCTCTACGTAATGCGTTCAATAATAAAGTTAAACAAACGGTCTAAGTTTCGACAAATATTGTTCACACAAAAGTTTGAAGAAATTCAACAAAAATGTTGATTTATGAATAAGCGATCATTCATGGGACGATATCTCCAGCAGATATCTCGCTTTTTAGAGAGGTGAACTATTTATCGTTTCATCTTTTCATCTTTACATCTTCGAACGAAAACGTGCCCGTAGCTAACCATTATCCGATATTTTGTCTGGTTTTCTATCACGTGTCACGCATGCAAACGACTTTATCTTGCTCTTCAAATTTTTTCTAGGGTTTTTTTCATAGATTTTTGATGTCTCACTAGAATACGAGAGTTTTTCCTTTCTGTAATGAACTATTTCATAGTTATACACACTTTTTCTTCTTAAAGGTACTCCCCCTCTTTTTTTGCAAAAATATTGTTTATTTTCAGCTGGACATAGTCTAATGTAAAAGAAAGTCTGGGCTATAAAATGAGACTACTCCTAGCCCTCCATGATTTTTCTTGAAAAAGATTATGACGTTTGTAAGTTTTAACTTCAAAGCCGAGAAAATCTCAGCTTTTTGATTTCGTAAATGTTTCTCTGCTTTGCTATAGATTCAAATTTTTTCTTATGAATAGCGTGATAGAACAAACTGTGTTCTTCAAAATGAGACGTCTTTCAGTACTTTCTGATGAGTTTTCTTCGAGATACAAGCATTACCGTAAATACCCTGAAAAACCGAGTCCTGTGTGCAATATGTGTTTGAAAAATGATATGTTTTAAAAAGTCATTTTTCTTTTGTTTGATCTTGAGTTTGATCTTTTATTTTCTTCAGAACGGAAAAAGTTACCGTATTGTAGTAAGACGTTAAAATCTATGAAAAAAACCTAGAAGATCTTTGAAGATCAAGATAAAGTCGGTTCCATGCGTCACACGCGTTAAAAATAGACAAAATATCGAAAATATCAATTATAGTAAAAAAGAGGCTAAAATTTTGTTAGAAAACATCTTCGCAAAATTATCTTTTTAGATATTCAAAAACCATTGGGTTTTGTTGAACTCTTCAAGTTCTATCAATAACCATATCTTAAAATGTCATCATATGCTTTTAAACGGCTGAAAAAGGAGCTAAAGCATAAATTTTAGCATGTAGGTTTTAGAAAAGCCGTTAGAAAATCGTTTTTATCCAAGATCTTGAAGTTACCAACTATTCAGGTATGTTTAGTTTTTCGAGCTCTATCCAATCATTGCTCTGAATATGTTTCAGTGAGCTTGCGAATGCAGAGAGCGCAGTTTTAAAAAAGTTGAAACTTCAAATTGTGAGTTGAAGTGTTAAACCTTTTTAACATAGAGCCCATTCAATTCTGAATAAAACAACTAATCTGAAATATTTTTAGAGACAAATGTTTCTATCAAAAAAAATATTTTCTGTAAATGGATGTGTGAAAAACCGTGATTGTCTGGAAATCTTCCTTCCAGCACTTTTAAAATTATATCGAGTTAGTCATCAAGAAGAGCATCGCTCAAAACACTAAGTACTGAGGTTTAACAAAATTTGTGCTGCCGACCTTGAGACCAAATTTTCATGTTACACTCCTTTTTGTTCAAGAAGCGAAAACTTTTAAGAGCTGTACTAAATAGTATCTCTAAGGCCGTTGATTCCGGCGTCCGGATCCTGATGGAACCTGTCGAATCCAACACTAGAACATGCCGGAAGTTATCAGAATTCAGTAAAATCTGGCCGCAACCATGCCGGAAATTCGTTGCTCAGAATCCGTACTGGAACATGTCGGAAAAGATCCGATCGGATCCTTCGAGTTTAAGACATCGAATTTCGCTCGATTAAGCAGAATGTGATCAATTTTCAGGTGTTTTAAGGCTAAAAATAGCCTTAGATGTTTTCATTCATTTTCTAGTGATTCTTTCTGTTCATTGGAGAGAGTGGAGGGAGTCTACTAGCTAGGAGGTGTACAACACGTCCGTTGAACAGTATGAGCGATGTAAGAATTTGCGAAGAACAACTTCTCATTTTTTCATTTTGTGTAGTGTCGTGAAATAAAACGGTGAATATGTTGAGCACGTAGGAAAGAAAGAAAAACAAATAAAGTGCACACCACAGGATCTGTTAATTTCCAGTCACGTAGTTGAAATTAACGGATCCTCCAGGAACTAAATATTGGGACGCAAAGGAATTAAGCAGATTTTGATTTCCGGATCCGATCCGACGCTTGATCTACGGAAATCATCGGAATTAAAAGGATCCGTTCGGGCGAATTCGATCTGGGTAGCGACCTCTAAGATCGGCTGTTTTCTTAAGCACACTTTTTTCCGCTAAATGAGATAATGTTGAGCTATGGGCACGTTTTCGTTCGAAAGATGTGAAGATGAAAAAATAGTACAAAACGTTACAGAATTATGTTTTTGGTCAAATGACATGAATAATCAACAGAAGAAATCCAAAACTGAAGATGTATTTCACAGTAAAAAGTTTACACAAATATGAAAGATATTCGAGGTACGACAGTAACACGATGGGATCTTTTATATTAACGGCTGCAGCAGAATAAGTGATAGTCTCAATATTTTCTCAATATCTCGTTCAGTTCTCATCCTTTCGGAATAATTTTTTTTTAAAGATTCAGCGTTCAATTTTCTACAAAACCATCGGTGAATGAGTTTTATTTATATAAAAGTAAAAAAGGCTGTTGAAGAAATATTGAAAATATGAAACATGATAGCATCATTTCTAGTACAATCAAGTGCGCTCTTTTTAACGGTATACAGAAGAACACCTCAGTTTTTAAAACGTGGATATACAGAACCTAATTTTGGAAAAAAAACGTCAGAAATTCGCTATATTTAATCTTCGCGCTTGAACATGGTAAATAGAAAAAAAGATGTATTCGAAACGAAGGTCCGCATTTACAGTACGGATCATTAGTTTTCAAATAACAAAAAAGATTATCTCGAGAGTGTAAACTTTGGGCAAGTCACATGAGTTTTCCAAATATAGAGAAAACAACGTTTTAAAAATGTTTTTTTTTGGAAAACATGAAAAAAGTAATGTTTATTTTGCGGATTGTTTTTAAAATTTTTGAATACCATTGGAAGACAGAGCTTCTCAAACTCTATAAAATGCCTCATTTGATTTTTTTGTATCTCAATACGAGAGCACGTAAAAGCAGAAAACTGAATTTTGTGCTAGCCTATGGTTTTGTAGAGAATTGAACGCTGAATCTTTAAAAAAAATTTATTCCGAAAGGATAAGAATTGAGCGAGATATTGAGAAAATGTTGAGACTATCATTTATTCTGCTGCATCCGTTATTTTAGTCGTCAAGTATGTGATTTTCAGTGTGCACTTGGTTTATGTGGTATTATTTTAATGATTATTGATAACGAAATTAAATTTAGTCATCAAAAAGAAGAAACAACACAAACTAATTTAATCATCGAAATATTTATAACAATTTCCACTTGCGCTCTTCTATATTTGCTCATTTATTATCATTATTTAAATATAAAATTGTTCCGTCTCAACAATTTAGGTCTTGGCACTATAGATACTGCACTAACATATGAGCGAGTATATTTAGTTGTCTGTGAATTTGTTATATGTGCAATTCATCCAATACCTGTTCCATGGCCAATATCTGTGCCAAAGAAACCTGCAAACTATGCTCCCATAAGTCTTATATTATCATTCCCGATGTTTTTGAGATGCTATTTATTTGTTAGATGTCTATTTTTACGTAGTCATCTGGTTAGAAACGCTGCTCTTCAGTCGTATGGTTATTTAAATCGGCTTCAAATTAATTTGCATTTAATCGGCAAATATTACTTATACAAACATCCTGAAATATTATTGACAGTAGTAGCATCTTGCTCACTATTTATATTCAGCTGGTGTATTCGTGCTTGTGAATATTCACCAGTTACTCATACACATCAATCATATCTTGATTCCTTGTATTTTTATGTAATTACATTTACTACAATTGGGTACGGTGATTTAACACCGTCGACACAATGTTCTCGTTTAATGATCGTTTTAATTGGTTTTCAAGGCATTTTGATACCATCATTTATTATTGCTGTTATATCAAACAAGTTACAGTTTAGTACCACTGAAAATTATTTTATTAAATTTGTGGAACAAATAAAATTAAGTCAAGAACTTAAACATGAATCATCAAATATAATCAAACGTGGTATAAAAACATGGATGTTGAAAACAGTTCGCCCGTCTACATCATACGCTAAATTTAATAAAAAACTGTTAATATCAATCAAGGCGAAGAATCGTATTAAACATCAGCAACTACAGATATCTAACGCTGATGATAATGACACAGCTATTGCTGTTCTTCTGAATAATAGACAAGCACTCGAACAAGAATTACAAATAATTAAAACAGTTTTGCATAAGATCGACAAGAAGTTACAAGAGCGACAACAATTCCAAAATGCATGATCGACAGTTTGTCGAAGTTATTATTCTGACGATTTTCTTTACGCAAGCTAACTATTTAGAAGATACGGTATTATCCAGCTCTAACTTTTCAGATCATATTTTCCTTCGGCCACATTAGTCAAACTCACATACTAGCCGCAAAAAAAATAATATAATTTCTTTTGGCATATTATCAGAACAAAAAAGTAAAGTTGGTTTTGAGTTGTTGAAAAGTCCTTTTTCATATCCAGCACACTCGATAACCCAGAAGATTTTCTATTTTTGGCGCGGGATACTTTCAAGAGTTTAGGAAAAATTTTCAAACAAAATGGCGTAGAACAATTTCCATGGGATGTAATATAAGTTTGAAAATTTTTCCTAAACTTTTGAAAGTACTCCTTGCCAAAAATAGAAATCTTCCGAGTTGTTGAGTGAACTGAATACGAAAAAGCACTTTTAAGCAACTCAAAACCAACTTTATTTTGTTTTTCGGTAATACGATTTTTTCATATATCGATACATCTTAGTCTCTTGGTCCGCTTATCAGCATCACAATCTATCAGAAAATATGCAAAGAGCACTGCACTCTCAAATAGATCATGGTCTTTGAACCTTGTTGAATTATGTCTTCGATATGATGAGATGATCATTCCATCCTCCATTTTCATCGTAATATGAATGCTAAATGGTTCGAATGACAAATCGAGTAATCTTTGATGAAATCCACAGCCAAACACGTATTATGCGTATTATGAATTGGTCTGCGTATGTCATTATATCTGCAAATGTATATTAGTAGTGATGAAATTGATTTGAGTCTTGTTTAAATCGCCAGAGAATATCTTTAATAAAACTATCTACGTATTCTGTGATTCTATCTATGTGGAATAAATTCGGGGGGGGTTACACGATGTAAACAGGGTGAAAAATATTTTCGTGCGTACCTACGGACACAGCAGTATTTTTCTCAATGTTTGTGAGTCAATACTAGGGGAAAGTCACTTTCTATTCGTAAACACAAGTAAAAATCAACAGTTTGACTGTAAACCAAAGTTTTTACGCGTGTTAACGCATTAGAAAATCCTCCTTGATTTCTGGCTAGAGCAGGCGGACATGAGCCCCAGCTTACACACATATGCTAAAAGTCGTTTTCTTACAGGTTTTCAAATGTGCTCTTTCTTGTGACATAGGAAAAATAGCCAAAATCCAGTCTTTGAAGGGATTTCTAGAGACCTGGTCTCTGAAAAATCTATAGAAAACAGCTTCAAAAATTTTTCAATGTCGTCATTAGATTCAGCATATCTGGAAACCTCTATAAAACTAGTTTGCAGGATTTTCCGACGCTTGAAATTGCTTTAAAAAATAACATCGCACAAAATCAAAGAAAAACCTTAAAAAAACGCTGCTTCGAAAGAAACTGAGCAAATTTTAACGAAAAACCGTTGGAAGACACGCCAATAGATGCAGTTTTTCACGCTGATCCCGAATATGTATATATTGTTCGGAAAAAATTGGTTTCTACCTCAGAAACCTGGGTTTTGGGAAAACCAATATCTCAGTCCAGGAAAATATGCGCACTTTTGTACATTCACCATAGATGCACGGCAACGCGAGAAACCTTTTGGTATAAAAATATGTTAGTTCAGACCTGCGCTAAGCTGTGCGTTCTCGAAATACCAGAGAGAGCCTTTACAGCCTAGAGCGTTTTCGAAAGAATTCATTCCAAAACTCTTAAGTTTCACTCGAAAAACAAAATTTTTTTTTATTTCGTATTCGTCTGACTGTGTTCTTACCGAAAATATGATCTCGGTTTTATTCTAATTTACTATCCTTGAATAAAAATCGAAACTTTTGCGAAAAAATAGCGCATTTACATGGTGTTTTTGCATTTCAAATCTTTTATAGAAGGAAAAGTCGTAGAATAAAAATTCTTTCGCCACTAAATCGGCCGTCACTCGAAGTATATGAAACACTATTTAAATTACGAAAAAGTAAAGTCACTGTTTTTTTCTAAATTTTCACCTGAATGCCCACTGTGCGTTGAATTTCCATAAATAATTTTCAAGAAAGTAGAAATTCCTTTCTGATTTTCGGACCTTCCTACCAAAACTTTCCGCCACAACTGATTGCAAAACAAAAAGAAGGTGTTTGGTCTAGAAGTTCCTGAGCGAATTTCCACTTTCTAGAAAATTATTTATAGAAATGATTTTCTATAAAAAAAAAAATGGAAAACCGCCGGCGATTTTCCAGTTAGTTTATAGAAATTCATCAGCGATTCTCCACCTTTATAGAAAATCAAATTTATAGAAAGTCAAGTCGATTTTCTATAAACTAGAAAATCAACGTTTCCTAGAAAGCTGGAAATTCGTCGAGGAATTTCTATAAACTAGAAACTCTCCGGCGATTTTTCGATCGATTTTCTGTAAACTGGAAATTAATTCAAGATTACAGTGTAGCTAGAAGGTTGAAACTTTTAGGATCGACAGGGAATCGAATAAACATGCCGACAGCGATGAGATTTTTGAATTCTATGTCAAGTCCTTCAAAATGTCACCACAATCGCCACAATCCACGCGACTTTACCTTGTCCAGATTTAAGCGACACACGCGCAGGATGTGCTCCGCTCCCCGTCCCCATTTTTTTTTCGCACGTTTTGAGGAATATTATTCAACCGATATTGAACGTCTAATACTTATTATTGTCATAATAAAAAAAGACTACTGATTGAAGAAAAATGTGTGCAAGAAAAGAATCGGTTTCTCTCTCATTTGTTTTCAAGTGATGACTATGCATATGTATTACAATGTTAAATTGTGTACTATGAGTAGAATGGACACGAACTACTGAGTTACGATGAATAGTTCTTTCATTCTTGTCAAGAAAAATGAACATCAAACACAAGAAGTAAATTTATTTAAATTTTAAATTTTATAGAAACAGCTAAATAAGGCCATATTTTGCACAAGATTATAAAATAAAAAAGTTTGATTAAACATAATTGAACAAATATGTATATATTTTAAGACAGAAGATTTTTGTGATTTATGCAAAAATTTTTAGTTTGTATTTTTATGACAGTATAAAAATAGATAATCCGAAAAACAATTTTATTTTCTTGTCGAACCATCGTTTCTTATTGAGTAATCTGAAAATAATTTATGATTTTTTAAATATTCGAAGAGAATAAATACGGTATATTGATATTTATAGTTCTAGATAGTCAAACATATTAATATGTCTAAATATATGATCTTATAGAGTAAACATTTCTCTTTCAATTGAGCCATGAACGACTAATAGACGTATGATAGTATTTCAGAAAACTGGAAAATACGAAAACTTGTGAAAATTCACGTTTTTTGGTAAGAAGAGTGACCGTCACCAGAGTGTTTGGCCTCTAGTTTTTAAAATAGCACGTTCAGAAAGAGTTATTGCAAGGTTAGTGATTATTTTGTATGCTCTATCGAATGACATAAATAAAAATAAAATAAAATTCTCCTCCGGACAGCATGGTCGGTTTTCTGGCGAATCTTCTTTTAAACACTTACAACGCTGAGTAAAAGCACTAGATCCGTAGTGGTGGCCATCTCCGATAGCATTACCTTATCAATCGCAACAGCAGCTAGTCCCAAATACTTTTCATTATCTATAACTGCATATTACATCACATATTCTGTCGCTTTTCTATTAAATTCTTCACGATTAGTTTTGTAGAGGAGAGCCGGTTCGGAGACGAGAAAATCATCTGCATTTGGTTCTATCAATAATAAAGAGATGGACAAGAGCATTTTTTCTATGGTAATACCAGGACGCCAGTACTGCACTTCTAACGAACGCATCAAGACATATTTGACCTTCTGAAGTGATATTTGAATGAAAGATTTTTGTTGAAGTGAATCACTGGAGGATGGAAGAGATAATCATTTGAGTAGTCAAAGTTCAAATGAAACGTTCCACCTTCGTACGGTGTATCAGCCCGTCCTTTCAATATTACACGCCAATGAAGTGTATCTAGCTCTTCATCAACGGGTACCACCGTGTAATCGGACAATGTAACCGACAGCTATTCTTGATGTTCATTAACTAACGTCAAAACCGCTGAAGCAAGTGAACGCGTGGCCAAATCTCGAAAATTCAAAACAACGAAAGTGAAAACGCAGATTGCATAAGTCGATAAAAAGAAGGTCGAAAACGTGAAATATCGGAAACAAAAATGACGAAAGTGGAAAACGTCGAAAAACTGAAATGTAGAAAATGCAGAATGTCGAACTCAGGGAAGATCGTGTTCACTTGCTTTTCTCATGTTACACAGCATGAATTTTGTAGACCTGATCGGAATGTGGAGAACAACTATAAAATGTCAAATCCATTGGTATGTATTTGGCAGCGAATTAGCATTTCATTTTCTTCATTCCTTTAAACATATGATGTACCAGTTAAGAAGTAGTCTTGAATGGCTTAGCCTCATGTCTGGTGCTTCCGATCTCCACCCGACCGCATGCAGCGATCCAACGTTTTCGATATAACTTTGGCGAGGTGGGGGAAGTTTTATGGAACAACTCTAAAAATTTAGCTGATAATCAAAAAAGAAAAAGGCTTTTAACTTTTTGGAGTAATTTTTATGTTAGTAAGAGTAATTTTTTTCAGACAAGGTGGGGGAATTCTCCCACCTAACCGCAAACGCTTCAGCGATCGCTTATGAAGATGTGGTACAGATCCATTTAAATTAAGATTTTGTTTGTTTCTACATATTGTTTCTTGTTTTGCGTGGCTCCTCTTTTGAAGGAGACCCTCCGTGCTATCAGCCCATAAAAAAAATTAATACAATCCTACTGGAAAACGTTTCCACTTGTAAAAAGATGCTCCATAATCTCTTCTTTCCATATTTCAAAATCTCAGCTCTCTAACTTTCAACATTCAAAAGTTATTCAAGTGACATTTATAGACCATTTCTTTTTTTAGATGGATAATAGACACTCTTCAAACGACCGAGGCAGGCGCACTATAGTTTTGCACTACT